ACATATGCGAGAATGTATGTATATAGAAGCATAACCCACCCAAATTGTGACAAATCAAAAGAAATCAAAGTATACTTCGTAGAACACCTTACTTAGGTACTCCATCAGAGTGGCCAATATTGACCACTTACCTCGTCGTATTTAGTCCTTCGTTGGGCCAGATTGGACATACCTTTCGTTGCTCCCGGCCATACAATCTGATCATTTTGATCAGAAATCAGGGAGGAGGAAAACTCCTTCCATAGTCGGTTATCGTCACCGACAAATATTTCGTACGGTTCGAATATACGAGTGTCGATCGTATCGCAAAATGCACGACCACGAGAGGTTAATTAAAGGAGAATATTAATTCAAAAAACTGTACTGTATATACGAATTAAATTAAATTTTACTTCCGCTATTTATTTAAAAATATTCACCATCTCTTCGTAACTTGATTTTTTAATTCGAAATTCAAGTACCTACGTATAGAAAAAAATTTACTTCGCGTTTGAGTGATTTTAATCAAATTCCTCGATAAATTTAAATTTATAATATGGATAAAATTAAATAATTAATGATTAATTTAAAATTTTTCCTGAAAAGCCGATCGCGAAAACCGACCGCGTAAACCGACCGCGAAGATGCGTGTAATTATGCATGTTGTTCATGCAATACGCATCTTAACAATACATATTATATATCAAATCAAATATAGAAAATATGAAAAAGAAATGGATAGGTTACAAAAGATTTGCTCGACAAATACAGCAAGACCATATTTGCTAAGCCCATATTTTGTGTAATTTTTGCAACAACTCAAGATGGAAAGTGAATTCAACGTATCGTAATATGAGCAATAGAGTTTCATCAGATTAAAAGAGTGTAAAAGAAAATTAAAGGCCCTGCTGCAAAAAAGAATGAATCTCAGATCTTCCGGATTACCTCCGATAGCGGTCATTTCGGCAGGGAGTTAACGACGATCGTTTCTCAAATCATGCAATCTCGTATATTTTCAGTTTTATTGAAATAAAAATTATTCTTCCATTATTAGTGTTAATGGGAGAATATTTATGGAGAAGAATATATACATAAATTCTTCTCTTCTTTTTTTGTTAATTTCGCGAATCGACGTCGCGCCCTCGTGCCGAAACCGCTGCTTTCGGGGATCCGTGACAAAGAAAACCAGGGATTAACTCTGGTTATCCAACAAGGTCTTTAATCTTCACGGGAAAAGGAAAATTTAAACAATTCAAAGGTCAAGGTCCTCG